GCATTCTGAGCATCCAAATTTGCTCTAGAATTTATGCTAACCATACTTGTATTTGAAATAGAAGAAGGAGAAAACGCACAAAAAAACGTAAAAAATATTAACCATAATTTATCATTACTTAGTGGTAGAAAAACGTAACAATTTAAATCGATTTTGTTAAACAAGGACAAAGGATAAAGCCTAAAACTTACTTTCCGTTTATCTATTTTTTATTCTTCGCTGGTTTGTTTGTAAAAATTAAGGAAAAGTCCGGAGAGGGGGGCAAAATTTGATTTCGTGGGGGAACAAAGGGGGACTGGGGGCATTTGCCCCCACAGCTTGTATGTTAAAAAAGGCCCTGGATACATTCTGGTGGAATGATTTGATAGAATACGTTTCACAACGAAGTTTTACCAGAATCACGTGGACCGGCTGCTACAACTTTTCTTGTCTTTTGGGGGATTTTGGAGGCAAAAAGCTGTGGTAAAATTAATTGAGAAAATTTATACGTTCCTCTTCATCAGGGAACGAATTTAGGATGCCTACTTGAAAATATCTCGAATGTCCGATTCGATTAGTTCTAAGTCGAATTCAATTTGCTTCATCATTTCGCAGGCTGGATGCGATAAAATTCTGTCAACCGCTGGGAAGTGTCATCGTTGGCAAGAAGCTTATTTTCAAATAAGCTTATTTCAAAATAACTTGAAACATCCATCATTCCGACATAGGTCATCTTCGCATTGGAGTTGGTGGCATAAATTGCGGAGCGGTGAAGAACGTGGCAGCAGATTACCATAAAGCGAGCAATCTTTCTGATGGTCCGTTTAATTTCATTAGGCTGCGAGAATGATTGTATCATGTGGTCTACTTGTGACGATAATAGTGACGTTTCTAACACAAGTCTATCCGATTACAGTCTTGCGAATGCAGACTGTATGGCGTCAATATAACCATCGTGATTGACGATAGTCACACAACAGGGTACGCTTGGGAAGTGTGTCGGATGGAATTCTTCATCGTAGAGGAGTCGCGGACATTGCGGTAGTACACATTCGATATGTCAACCATGTCTTCGATACTGCAGTTGCTATGGTCCTTCACTGTTTGAAAGAGCTGTCTTGCCGCACTTTCCAATTCATTATTGGAAGCGTTTCGATCTTTCATATCTTGAAAATGTTAACGACGAGACCTTTATTACACCTAAGTGAGTGATAGCGAAAATGGCATTGTAAATTAAAAACACACTTACCATACTTAAAATGTTCGCTCTTAAAGAGTTCTGTATTCGTATTGAATCCAGCTGTTACGCGGTTTTGGAGGCACTTTTAACTAAGCTATTTCCACTGCATGTTAGTTTTTAGAATATAATCTATTTTACTTTGTTCATCGCCATCATCGTTTGTCACCACCGTTACCATAACCAACATCACGATCAAATCATCACCATCACCATCTTCGCCATCCCCATAATCATACATAGTACAAATGTTCAAACACTTACCTATACATCGAGGTGTGGGTAAGGCAGTAAATGGTATTATTTTTTGTGAAGAAGTTGCGGAAGATGGCATGATCATGCAAGTATCACTGGAGCAATTTTGAAGAGACGTCTCTTGATTTCCCCTTGCAATAACTAAAAATGTCAAGAAACAGCAAACGTTGCTTTGTATTCACTTAGGATAGACATACAATCTTATCAAAATTGCAAAAGTTTCTTTAAAGCGATATATATATATATATATATATATATATATATATATATATATATATATATATATATATATATATATATATATATATATATATATATATATATGCATATGACATAAAATTTCTTATTTTCTTAAATGAAAGAACTCTTTAAGTTGTAGTGTGACTTATTTTTCAGTTTCTTGTTTTTATGGTTTGTTCCCGAGATATTTCAATTTGTTTGATATGTAAATGAGTGTGAATATGTCCGCTAATTTATGACGTCATGTTCGTTGCAAGCTCAACTTACACTGGTTATAAATGTATTAACTCTTAAAACTGTTGATATCAGTTTACGTTTTTCTCCAGTGTTTCATCACATTTACCAGTGAGTGCATGAAGTTTGAAATTATCAACTTGGATGATAGCAGTGATATTCAACCATTTTGAAGAGCTTGCAACCAACATGACGTGTCATAAATTAGCGGACATATTCACACTCATTTACATATCAAACAAATTGAAATATCTCGGGAACAAACCATAAAAACAACAAGAAACTGAAAAATAAGTTACACTAAAACTTTCTTTCATTTAAGAAAATAAAAAATTTCATGCCATATGCACTTTAATACTTAAAATGTTTTTGTTGCTACTCTGAGTTTCATGCCGTAAAGGCAATCATCAGCACAGAGTAGAGACATACAGAGACGTAACTAGTGTACCCACTTTTTTGTGCGCATGCTCGGCAAGTTACTAGATGCGTGCATCTGATTGGATGACGTCCTGATGGCGACTAACTTTAAACTTGCTGAGCACGCGCAGTTGATCATTTTTTGCCCGGTCGCCTGAAAAAAAGTGGGTACATGATAACGTAATCTTCCGCAGTGTTTACAACGGTCAGTTACGTCTCTGTATGTCTTATCTAGTCTGTGTCATCAGGCAACGGATTTTAGCTTCTGAATGTCAGTTAGTTGGTGTTTGCTGACGTTACTCCTGGCTTGCTGACGTATGTACATAATCATTTTGCGCGTGCTACCGTATACTGAGTCGTGCGACCGTATAGACACTAAAAATCTCTTCTGGTGTTGGCACTTTGTGAAAATTTCGGATCGTGAATTTAGTACGAGTTTCTTGTTTGCTTTTAAAATACATATAGTTCCTCTTCAGTGCACAGGCTACATTGCTTTCCACCACTTGAATACGGTGCGGCATGTCTTAAAATTGACCAGGTTAAACTGAAATTTCGTCCGTTTTGTTTCAGCTTCCAACTATATTTAGACAGTTCCGTCTCGTTCATGTAGGTATAGTGTTCGTAATGTGTGGGATGAAATATATATACCGTATATCCAGTGTGGGATGGAATCGGATATGCTCTGAGTGATAGGCTCCAGAAACTTCAAAATAGAGCATCTCGCGTTAAAACACGTTCTTCATATGACATCTCATCAAACTTCTTGATCAGTTGAAGTGGAATAATTTATTCGTTAATCGACAAAAACAGAAAGCTATGCTGATATATAAGACACTTAGCGGTCAAACACCTCAGTATTTACATGAGATGTTTACCTCTAGAAGATGTTAGTATTCTCTCAGGAATTCTAATGGAAAGTTGGTTATTCCTATACCTTATACTAATTACCTAAAGCGCTCCTTTTCTTATAGTGGAGCATTTCTCTGGAACAACTTGCTAGAATCACTTAGATTATCGCCATCTCTTACGGCGTTTAAAAGTAGTATGCATGGAATTGGAATCTCTATATTCTTGACGAAGCGACTCCCACACGGCAACCAGGTAGAAAAGTACTCTTCCCATTTATCTCTTATCTATATACAAAGGTAACTCCGAATAAAGTAAGCATTCGAAGTTTCGACTAGTTGTACTTTATTTAGTCACCATCAGGAATGATGATGACTAAATAAAGTCGAAACGTTTCCTGATGATGACTAAATAAAGTCGAAACGTTGAATCAAAATGCTTACTTTATTCGGAGTACCGTTGTATTGTATTTTATGAAAATACTCAGTGGTTCCCGCAATTATCTCTTATCTCCTTTGTATTCTTTGTATTTTTATACTGTGCAATAACATTTAAATAACAATAGTTTCTTTTATATAATATATAGTTTCTTGTTCTTCCCACATTATATAACGTCATACTGTGTATCTTTTACTGAACAGACAGCAGCAAAATCGTATCCGTATTTCAGTTAAACACACTAGCTACTGTATGTTTAAATGATAAGGAAATCCTTCTGAAAAATCTGAAGTTTCAGATTCAAATCAGGAGATTGGGAGAAACGTCATATGGAAATTGGGAGATACTTGATCAAATCGGGAGAGTTGGACTGACACACGCTTTTCAGTACTTGGTTAGATAAATCACATGGTATTAGAGTAAAATAACAATCTATAGCACGTCATTAGGAGACATAATAGGAGACTTAATATGGACACATTGTCTGCATTCCCTTGACAGGTAAAATCATCTGACAGTAGATAGGGTAAATAATAAATAAAGTTCATAGAGATAAAATATAACCTAACAAAAAATACCTGAATTAAAACTGATTTCGGTGATTAACAACCATTTTCGAATTCCACCAAAATATAACTGCATCTTTATAAATCTTGCTGTATTTTCACAAAGTGACAAAGTTACATTTGCATTGTATTGCTTTTTTTTCCTGGAAAACCTCTTGGACATTGCTGAAGAAATGATGTGTTTGAGAAACCGTCTGCGGTTGAAGCAAAGAATACCCATGATCTATTAAATACAGCATGACCGCGTTTCTTGACATTCACAGTTAGTGTAACATCTGTAAACTTTCTCACACCAGAAAACTCAAATGTAATGTTAATGTATTGTGATTTAGTAAACCTGCTAGACCATCCTACCCATCCTTTGCCTTTTAATGATTTTGTCTTAACAGGGCCAAACTGGCCATCTGTAAGTATTCCAGTGCCATCTTTGTAAACGTTATTGATAATTACTCCATTATAAGACTCGTCGATGTAGTGTGCTTTTCGATAGAGGGTTGCCTGTCCAACTGGCATCGAATACGAGAGAATAACTAGAACAGTAAAAAGAATTTCAACTTGCAAATCAAATCAAATTTTATCTACATGACTATTCATTATTACATGTCTATATATAGATTTGGATTTTAGAGACGTCTGTTATATATATATATATATATATATATATATATATATATATATATATATATATATATATATATATATATATATATATATGTCCATGACAGACTGACAGTTTATTGTCTACCAAATTTGTCAGGATACGCAGAACAGCTATGGTGTTCGGCCATCTGGGGGCATGCATGGTCTTCTGGAAAATTGTTTCTGTTTTAGCGTTTGCGAAACGCTACATCATGCATTGTCATTTCTGACACGTTTTATGATAATGAGCCACAGATTTTGTATATTTTATGTCATAGATGAAATCATTACGAAGTTACTGCGGCCAGACCCCAATGCTCCCAAACCCCCGCGGTTATGCCCCTGGTTGGGGTCATAGCTGTGCTCCGTGCTCAGATACTGCCTCGATCTGTGTCGGCAGTAATTCAGCTCAGTTCGCAACTGGAAGTAAGGATCGGCCGGATGACTTTTCACATGAATGTCACAAATCTGCAGCGAGAATCAAACACACGACGTCAGAGATCGCTTGATCTGGCGCTTGATCTGACGATTGCGCCACCGAAATCCTGTGCTTTCCAGCAATACCTGAGTTTCCGAGTGCATAGGTCACACTGGTTAAAGCAAGAAGACCAATACACACACAACTTTCAGAAATCTTGCTCGTTGCCATCTAAAATTTGAGCAAAAGAATTATACTTTAAAAGGAATCCAACGTTTCACTTAAATTAACAACATACAAAGCTTTTGATCTGTGAGTCGACCGGATCTTTATTACAGCGCAATATACTCTATCTCGTATCGTTGTCAAAATCAGAGTAAGTGAATAATGTTATTAATTATTTTCATATGAGGGACCAAATAGAATTGATAGATAGTTTTAATCTTTTTCCTTTGACGTTTATCACCATCTGCCAGAGTTTCCAAGTGGAGTTGGGTAAACGTTCCTATACAAAGACCCTAAAAATTCCAAGATTCTCGGTTTCTTCCCCAAAAAATGCCCTTTCCGTAAAGAAGACTGGAGACGACTCGACATTTTGAAATAATTTAAAATAAATAAATAAAGTGATTCCATGCATCCAAAAATATCTGGATTTGATCAATATTTGTATGAAAAAAACTTAATCTTTTTATTCTGGCACAACTATTTCGCTGCTAAAAACCCTTTTATCAGTATATCTTTTACTAGAAAAATCCCAAGAAAAATTCCAAGTAGAATATTGTTAAAAACCTACATATTTCAACTTTCAAGTGAAAAAAATTTCAAAAAGCCGAGTTTGAGACAGATACGGCGGTTTTCTTACTTAGCCCTATATAGGCCTATTACAAGGAGGGATAGCCCTCCCTGTTGCACTTATATGGGGAATTTCCAGCCTTACTAAGCGAGATCTCGGGTAGTTAACAGCGAGATTTCTTCTAGGGGGGGGGGGGAGGCTGGCCCTCAAAACCATAATATTTCAGTAAGGACTTCAAATGGCCCTAGGGCTATAGGAGGGGCAGCCCTTCCTGCAGGGCTCAAGCATAAACATCCCCATCCATCTCAAACTTGGCTTTTAAAATGTTAGAATATAGCTTTCCAACAATGTTCAATTGTATGATAGTTACAGTTGGAAATTTGTTCCGAGAGAATTAAATGCAATTTGGTCTTCGTAATAAAATAATTGAGCTACATTAGAAGCCATTTAATTAAGTGTCATTTACAAAAATCAGCCTTATAGCAAGATGGCTGATTTTTATCATGTTAACACGACTTACACGGGTGAAAAACAGCCCTACATGGGAGGGACAGCTCTTCATGTATATAGGGCGCATGTAAACACCCCCTAAAAAGTAACTATTGTTGTATTTGCTTCTGCCCGTTTACCATTTCCGCCTTTGTTAATACCCAAACTTTGTCAATATTTTGTAGTTTGTATGTGGACTTCTATACTAGACTTCTATACTAGACTTCTATACGGGCTTCAATTGTTTATTTTCTTATAACTTGAATGGAAGCTAAAACGGTATAAGACGAAAAGAACAAATCTACACTAAGACACAAAGTATACATTTTCAATTGCCGCAGACATGCACAGTGCCACCAAGTAATGAGAAACCTTGCGTGTTGATTGATTGATTGATTGATTGATTGATTGATTGATTGATTGATTGATTGATTGATTGATTGATTGATTGAGGGTATAAATTGCACAGTATAGTACAATGACACTAATCTACTTGTGGCCATTAGAAAGTATTTAACCAATACAGATAATACTAATAAAAAGAAGAAAATTACAAGCGTGTTGCCGAAAGAAAGCAAGAAATAACATCGATGGGACGGACTGAATGCCTTTTTTGCGGAAGTCATGCACTTCATTTGCTAGCTTCAAGTCACTTTTCGTGTGCCAAACTTTTCGTGAACCAAACAACGAGTTTAGGTTACAAGATATGGTCTAGTTCAAACGTCGCGTTTGTCATGTGCACAACCTAATAGATATTAATTTCGCCAAAGTTCAGCATAATTCGAAGGTTGATTCAAAGGATGAGTTTCGTTGGTAGGGTCCGTAGGGATGCAACTTCCTGAAAAATATAAGGAGAATTTCGACGTTTCGACCCTTCGTCTGGAGTTGCTAACGGGGGTCGGAAAAATTACATGAGCTGTTCATAATCAGTTACATCGTCAGTTTTTTAGTTGTGAAATAAATATTCCACGTTATATTAATTAAATTAAGTGTTTTATACAAATTCTCTTCAAGGATTTCACGTGTTTGATTCCTGACATATTGAATTTTCACATGTGAAATATGGATTTCATAGTTATTTCATTTCACATAGAAATTTTACATGTGAAATGCCGATTTCACATGAATACCTGTGTGCCAGGATTTCAAGCCATGCAAGTCACGTAATGTATGTGCCAGGCATGCGAGCTATGAAAGAATTCCGTGGGAGCCATTAAAAAATCAGAATATTTACTTATTTTGCCAGACAGTGACACCCCATATAAGTCTTGGAAAATCAACCAAAATTTTATTTTATCTGAACTCTCCTTGGGAGCCGATGAAATTTTAGTATGATTACTTATAACGGCTTTTGCTACGCAAAACAACCTGTCACATAAAATTGCTTTTGGGCCCTTATATTCAGTTATGAGCCTTGGATGTTTTTCTTCTGTTCCCTTGTTTTTCA